TTCTCCATTTAGGTATTTTCTTTAACTCATATTCTCTTCTGCCTAAAAATGTATTGAATATATACAATAAATTGAAACTATAAGAAACAATAAAAAAACTGAGTCGTTGAATGTTAATTTACCTGGATCTAAACAGCACCACATTGACAAAGAGACCAATCGCTTAGTTTGTTCTCTGCACAAAGCAACTTCCATACTATTGAAGCAGTGATTCAAAAAAACTATTAAAGCTGTAGCTTCTTGCATAGCATTTTCAGTCTGAGGAGTATCAGCTAAACACGCTCTCAGCACTTGTTGAAAAAATGCTGAAAAAGCTTCTGGTCGTCTTTCAAAAGCTTGCCATGCTTGGACCCGTTCTCTGAATTTTTCATTTAACATAACGACTATGGACATCATGTGAGCATGTGAAGACTTCTCAGAATAAGTTGGCCATAAGTAATTTTCTAGGTATTGACTGAATTCAAGCATCATTATACGTCGAATTGAAAATTTTGTACCACATATTTCTCTTAAATATATGTCGTCTATTATGGAAGGATTATAAGGAAGGTGTGATCCGGCAGTACTTGGGGCCCAGAATTGATTAGCAAGCTTAAGAAATAAAATAAATATATTAGAAAATTTAAAAGTGTGGGAATATAATTTTAGGTTAAGCCGACATTAATCTTACCATAGTAATTTCATCCGCATTAATTTGATCCACAGTGACTGTGGGAAGTTTTGCTTTTACAGCAGTCTCTGCTTTTTCCATTTTTTATACTTTTATTAAACACTTTACAATAAAAACACTTATTCATGTAAAAGAAGTAAAAGAACTTAGATTTATTGGTTATGTTTATTGCAACAACTACTGAACTGATTGTCAAAAGCTTTCGACGTTTGTCGTAGGTGGCTCCACAGTAGGATGAAATTGATAATAAAGGCGCCATTTTTGAATTCAAAATAATGTTCTATCAATTTCAAATAAATATTTATTTTATTTATTTTTGTCGTTATTTATATATTTATTACATATATCCATATGAATACGTTCAAACACAACTAAGCCTTAAATTAAAACATATATTTTATAAGTTTTTATAAAAATATTTTCATACTATTAATTAAAATCTATCTGAATTGTTTTCTGTTATAGTCACATAGATATTGGTTTCTATTTTTACTATATTATTATTATTATAATAAACGCTGTCTGCTTGAAGGCAGATCCATGGGGTGAGAGTTCTTGTACTTTGAAAGAGCTGGTTTCTATCCCGCATAATACGCTTTCTCGCATATGATGCGTTTTTAGTTAGTTCCAAATAATTATAATATAACTATAAAATATAAATTTCATAGTATTTGAGTTCAAGTTGAAAAAATACATTATTTTTTAAATATAAAATGAAGGTTACATATACATAGGTGAGATTACATAAAGGAGGATAGGTACATAAGTTGTCTACCCTTGGGTATTAACCTTTACATTAAATATTTTTAAAAGTACATTTATATGTATTAAAGAAAAACGGTATATTAAATCGAACATGTATAATAAAAGAAAAATTTTAACAATTCTTAAAAAAATCGCATGGCAATATTTAGCAATATGAATAAAGTTCCTATTACAGCTATGAGTCGATCAGGCTATAGTTTGACATTATATAATAAGTACACAGTAAGAGTAAGAAATACACGTCGTGTTATGAATGAATCTATTATCAAAACAAAATTATGTCGCAACATTTGAACAACAAATAGCTATTACCAAATAATTCTCCTAAAATAGAATCATCGCCGGTGGCCTCATACAAATGACGTCAAATTATTGACGAAATCGACGCGTAAATTCTTTTCGAATATTGTCTCTTTTTCTCCAGGATCTAAATAAATCGTTTTCACACGCATTTCACCTTTCTCCATCACTTAACAACCGTCTGCAGACGAAATGTCTAACATTAACTTTATTTGTTGGTTTATTTTATTAACAGGTTTAGATGTTGTAAATATGAAAGTAAAAGTCTTATTAATTCATGTAATAATAGATCGGTTTAATGGAGCTTAGTCCTGTGGAATAATAGCAGAGAACACTGATATAGCAGTTAACAGCTATAATATTTTGTTATATACTTTAGTTTACATATATACATTTGCTCTAGTTTACTTAATTATAAGAATATTACTAGAAACTTTGCAAAACATTATCATTAAAATATTGAACACAGTTAACTGGTCAAGACTACATAAAATACTGGGTGATCTATACATTATCAAATTTATATTATAATCGTTAACACTGAAGGCGATTTCTTTTAATATTAATCATAAGTTCTAAGACTCCCATTTGAAACTCAACAATCTCGTCTTCAGTCAGTGTTTGTAAGGAAGGTAGAATACCTTTAAAAAACGATATATGTCTATCTCCAATATCTCCCAAAATTGTTGGAGACTCTACTTCTGTCTTAACTTTTTTCCGAGCAGGACTAGAAGTTATTTCAGTGTTTGCAGAATTATTTTCCCGATCGCTCTCGTCGCTTTCAGAAAGATTTTTTGCAGGAACTTCCACGAAATTGAAATGCTCATTGGTAAGGGATGAATTTAAAGTGCTGTCTTCAGCTGATGGTAGTTTGAATGTGTTTTTTAGAAACTTTAAGTTTTCACTATATGTATAAGGTTTTATTGGGGTTTGTGAGTATTGTTCTTTTCTTAATGATTTGAGGTAGGCGTCTCGGATGTTTGTCCAACGTTTCAGAATTGCCCTCCCTGGGAAGAAAAAAAATAAATTTGTATTATATGATAGCAACATAGCTCAGAGTCTTACTGATAAACTTGCAATCATAAGGTATTATCGAGTTATATGGAATGACTTTTAACTTTTTGAAATCGGTGCAGCCATTTTTGAGAAAATGTCGTCGATGGATCAAATTTGGGCACATATACAAACACACACATATACAGACATATAGCACACATCCTTTTTTCAAATTTCGTGACAAACTGTTCAGAATGTCTTGAATCGTCGAGGAAACGTAAAGTAAAAATCATAATTAGTAATCGAATTTTCTGGCAAAAAATAGTTTCTTTGGGAAGTAAATAAAGGTTTAATTAAGTTTTTTGATAATTATAAAACAGGTAAGCTTACATTAAAATTTAAAATAAATTATTATTTGAATAAATACTGCAATTGGATTTTTAGCATACGCTTCATTTCCCAAGATTAGAGAAAATAATTAAAACAAGTGTTTGTAAGGAAGGTAAATAATAGGAATATCGTTACAAAAATATTCAGTGTATGAAAAAATAATCAAAAATCAATTATATTATAATAAAATAAATTTTACCCACAATAATCATTCTTCAAGCTATCTTCAAAATTTTGGAAATCACTGTTCATTGCCAGGCAGACTTCATTCCAAGCTTTTTTGCATTCGTTCCGATCCTTGTGCATGGAATATGATTTATCCCAAAGTACTGGATGAGCTTCTATGGCAGCCAAAAGTGACTCCGTGATTATTTCAAAAGATGCCATGATTAACCAACCCTTTAAACTACAACTTTAATTTTAAAATTACAACAATATATAAATTATGGATTAATTTTAGTGTAAACGAAAACACAATATTCACTTGCACGGTTTTTGTAGAGGAATGAGACGCCGGTCCGTCGCCGTACCGACGCCGGCTCGATATACCAAGGGCGAAACAGTGAAGGACAATTATAAAAAAATATAAAAAGGATATGAGCATATATCAATTTCTATTTGTTCAGAAGCAATCAATATACAAATATATATAAAAATTAAAAAAACTTGTCTTATGAAACAATTAAATTTTTGCACACGTGCATGGTTTTAAAGAAATTTTTGAGTAACTACTTTATTATTATACCTATACCTACAAAATTTTCAATTTATTTTCAAATGAAAGAAAAAAACTTATGCAGTTTAATTTAATTCGTTTGTAATTATATTATTTTCAAGATATGGGGGCGTCCATTAATCACGTGAGTGAATTTTTAAGGATTTTTGAACCCTCCTTCCCCCTTGGTGATATTCAAAATTACCTCCACTCTCCCCCACCAAACATCAAGTGTATTTTTAGGTACGTGAAAAAACTGTAATTTTTTTTATTTTTTTTTTAAAGTTTGAACCTTTTTTAAAAAAATAGTTAAAAAATAAATACACGTGATATCTTACTATACCCCTCGCTCCTCAACGATATTTTGTGATTTTTTGTCAAATCCTTAAAAGCTCACGTGATTTATGAACGCCCCCTATGTATTAAGATATTTGGGCTAATAATATTAATATTTATATAAAATTTAAGTAAAGTTTGTAAAATTTGCTTTTCTTTAATGTTTTCAACTAGCTTTATTTTAAAAATCTATGACAAAATTTAAATTTTTCTACGCAGGTACAATTTTAAAAATATTAACATATTTGTTCAAAACGAATTTGTCAATATCACATGAATTTTTTTAATAAAAAAAATTAATAAAATTACCTTTATAAAATTCTTCTATTTTTGAATAAACTCTTCGACCTTCAATGAATGTATAAACTGAAGCTCGGGAGCTTTGCCGGGTCTGAACGAATTCACACGATCACGGTTTTTATAGAACTCTGGGATTCCCAATCTTTGTTTATGTATATAATATATATATATATATATATATATATATATATAACAAAATCAATATAAAAAAATATCTTTAATAGCAACTACTTATTTGCACATAAACACTAAATGCTGAAAGTTGTTTAAACTGCTTTATTAATATATACTTAATTCATTTTATTTTAATAATTATGTAATTATATAAAAATAAAATTCACTAATTCAGTTAATATGTACATTTAAATTTGTAACACCAACATCCTCTTACTTAATAAGTTACAAAAATAAAATTGCACTTCTTATCATTTTAGTATAAAAATATTAAGGTAAAGCAATTAATATTTAAGTGATTTTAAAACACTATTTATTGGTTATATATAAATGTCTCAAAATCGTTTTCCCGTTTTAAAAAAAGAAAAGAAAATTATGTTTGAGTCCGATTTTTCTTCATATTTATAATAAGTTCCAAAACACCCATTTGCAATTCAATGATCTCATCTTCTGTAAGCGAATGCAAGGAAGGCAAAATTCCCCTAAAAAACAAGATGTGCCTGTCGTTTGCAATTTCCAAGAGATTTGAAGGTATAACTGCTCCTTTAGGCTGACCATCTTCTTCCATCTTCCTCTGCAGTATTTTAGCAGTTTGTTCCAATATTTGTCTACTACTATTTCCTTCTTCTAATATTAATTTATTCCTTTTTGGTTCTGGATTATCAGATTCAGCACCATCGTCATCTCCACTATTAGAGCAACTCTTTGATGGAATTTCCACGAAATTCATATCGTCGTTGGCGTATGAGGAATTAGATGAGGAATCTTCAATAATTGGGAAATTCACTGTCTTATTAAAAAATTTCAAATATTTTGCGAATGTGTACGGTTTCATTGTTTTGCAAAACCGTCGCTTTCTTAAGGATCTTAGATAGGAATCTCTGATGTTTGTCCATTTTTTTTGGATAAGTCGCGCTGGAAGAAAAAAATTATAACCCCATTGTAAGTATACCCATGCTTATGTTAAATCTTTATATAAAATTTAATTTTATTGTCTTGAAAGGGATCGTTCAAGTATTACGTAAGCAGATTTATTACAATTATTTACCCGCCCCCCCACCCCCTTGTCAGCAAAAGTAAGCAAAGCTCTTTGCCTTGTCAACCCAAAATAAGCAAATCAACAACCCCCCGCCCCCCTATAGTGCTTACGTAATACTTGAACGGCCCTAAAGGTTAAACACATAATTTTTCACCCTTTCCACTCGGATGTCGTGGCTCCGGCGACAAAATACGCGTTATTTTTTCAATTCGCGAGTGGAAAGGATTAAATTGGCTAATTGATTTAAGCACCTCATACAGACTAACAGATTTTTACTAATACTAATATATTCGTTTTTATTTATTCATGCAATTTTTTAATTATTAGAAAATTGAATTTGATAAGAATGAATATTTTAGAAATAAATTGTTTCGTTTCTCAAATAATCAAAAAAGTGTATAAATGTTAAAAAAAACTTCTTTGTTTTTAATAGCTATTACTAATTATGATTTTTAAATTTCTGAACTAAAAATCTTCTGGTTTACTTCATAAAATTATTTATTTCATATTTTAAAAACTTGTTGAACGTCTGGGGATATGCAATGTCGTCTCCTTCTGGACCAGGGTCAAGATGTTTGTTGAGTATTTGATTTGAAAAATGTTTAAGTAAAAAGTAAATTCCTATTAATTAAATAATTGTATAAAAGTATAATAATTCTTACTTCAAACAATAATACTGAGAAAGAGTACATACCATAATCCCAGAATAATGAGTAAATATAAATACATATTTGAAAACATTTTTTTTCAAAAGGAACACTCTTAGATCAGAAATTTAATATCTTTGTATATTAATATTTACATTACAAAAAATATAGTCTTACCAAATTGTTCCTTCGATTTCTCATCATACTTTTCATAATCCGCGTTAAGCTTCAGGCAAATTTCATCCCATGCTCTCCTACTTTTATTTCTATCATGATTATCAAGTGATTTGTCCCAAATTATTGGATGTGCCTCAATAGCACCGATAAGTGACTTAGGATAAATAGTGATATTTGTAACAGGCATATTTAATAAACTCCTATATATAATTTATTATTTTGAACCCCACATGAATGTTTGTTATTGTGAAGTCTGTACGAGCAGACGAACGGCTCGTTGCCAGAGACCGTCGCGACGACGCGTCGGGCCGTTGCCGTTCCGCACATGACTCAATATCCCAAGGACAGGGCAGCAGAGGTAAGCCGCAGGTCTCGGGGATAATAGAAATAAAATAGATAGAAAAATAATTGAAATATTAAAAAATTAAATTAAATATAATTCGAAGTTGACGAACAGCTGACACGATCTAGAGAGAAGACATAGCAACGGATAGAGAGGCACGAGCATCTTTGGAGGAGGCCTATACCCAATCCGAGGTTCTGGCCGACTAACTCTATACATCATGTATTGTGTACATATCTTCTTATATATAAAAATAAACCGCAAAATGTGTGGGTAAGCGCATAACTCAACAACGCCTGGACCAATTTGCCCAATTATTTTTTTAAAATGTTTGTTGAAGTCCCAGGATGGTTCTTACGGCGAGGAAAAATCGATTAATTGCCAGGAAAACTCTAACAGCCTTTTGCTTTTTCTCATACCAACTAACTTTCTCTAACAAAAACGTAGAATTAATTTGAGCTTTAAAACTATTATATAAAGTTCATATTAAATTACAAGCACTCATTGTATACTCCTTCTAAACGATTATTCGGATTTTGATAAATTTTTGTTGTTGTTGTAAGTTTGTTGAGGAAATTTTCTAAGAATATAAAGTACTGGGGTGTATGTGCAATATTGTAGAAATAAATGGAAAAATGAACCTAGACAATATTAGAATATGTATAATAAATTTATGATTATGAATAAGAAAAATGTAATGTCTGCATTATTATTGCCAAAAAGCAGCTGACATGTGCCAGAAATTAAAATAAAATAATATATAGTATATTAAGAGCAGATTGAATGATACACATATGAACAGGATATGACAAATTCATTCACTTAAAATATGAAATTAAGTATTAATCAGGGTCGGTCCTACCTTTAATGCGATGCATACGAAAAATACGAGCGCACGCCTTAGGGGGCGCCAACACAAATTTCGGATATTAAATTTTCAATATAGTTTTTTTTTTCAATATATAATTTCCTTTCATCTTTTACTAATCTTTCCACAATATTTTTAGAATTCGTAAAAATTTCACTGTATAACAACAAATGGGAAAGAAAAGATGAATACATACAATTCGGCCCTCACTATACCGATTAGGATAAGTTTAATATGCAATTTTGGATACCTTAAATAATAAAAAATTAAATTAATTTAATCCAACATGAAGTACCAGTGTTATGTTATGATGGTTATGGTAATGTTATACCGTTTAAAAGAATTCAATTTTCAATATAGTGTGGGAATTGACTCATAATTTTATTTAAAGCAGTTCTGCATTTAACATCGCTCATATTATAAATGAATATGCATTTTGGCGTTAAAAGTTATTTAAAAAACAATAACAGCATGGGTACAGGACAACATCTGTCGGTCATCTAGTTACTTAATACAATAATGTTCTGTATATACATGTTTATGTTAATTTTTTATTAAAAAGGCAAGAAATAAATTCAGAATCATCACAAGTTAAAATAATTGTAAATTTTTACAATTACTACCTAGACTCGATCCGAGTACCTATGTCGATCCAAGTAGAGCCTGCTACTATTACGACCATGCTGCTGCATTATAAATTTAAATTTAAATAATCACGTAATAAATTTGCTTTTTTTCTATATCTGCAGCATTTCATTTTCATGTTTATATTTTTTCATTTTATTTTATTTTATTTTTCCTGGTAGGAAAATCCATGGCCTTCACAGCCAATACGAATGGAACGAGCTCTGCCGGATTCCTACGAATTGGAACGTCACGGCTCGGTTTTGTGTCGTCTACTGCTCCCGCAAAATTGTACGATCAGCATTTTTAAAAAATGATGATATTGGTTCCCAAACCAGGAATAAATCATCCAAAGTCGAATAAAAACACTCACTAACTAATATAAAATTAAAGCTTATCTCAATTTCATTTATTGTCAACACAGCTGTGCACCACATCGGCTTTGGTAGTGTATTTAAAAAAAAAATCCACAATTGAAAAAAAAAATTTAAACATTTCACGATTTTGGCTAGGTACTAAAAATACACGTAATATTGGATGGGATAGGGGAGATAGGATAATTTATTAAAATATCAACACGTCTCATTAAGGAATAAAGGTTCCAAAAGTCCTTAAAAATCGATCACGTGATTATTAGACGCACCCTTATAAAAACTCTTCAACTCAAAGAAAACAATTTATATAATTCTGTTTTTAACGCGACCAAATGTGTTTGGAAAAACATAAAACTCATAAATCTAACTTTTATATCAATGAAATAAATACAGGATAGAACAATCTATAATTAATCTTTATTTACAAAATATAAAATACATCCCTCTGGCAATTATAAAAACTATTATTTTAGCTACAATGAAGACGATTTCTTTTAATTTTTACAATTAATTCTAGAACACCCATTTGAAATTCAAGAATTTCATCATCCGTCAAGGTGTGCAAAGAAGGCAATATACCTCTAATAAACGAAATATGCCTATCATCAGCCTGATTAGTTGATTTAGGTAATGTTGGTTTAGTCTGTACAATTTTTGGTTCACATGCACCAGTTTCTCTTAAATCATTACTTGTAAAATTTATATCTTCTACTGAATTGTGATCATTACTGGGACCTTCTTCATCCGAGCAGTATTGTGTGGAAACTTGGATGTAATTAAAATTTTCGATACCGGCTGAAGAGTTAGATAAACTATCTTCTACAGGTGGTAAATCAAAAGACTTGTGCAAAAATTGTAAGTGTTTGGCATAAGTATATCTTTTAGTCGGAGCATGCGAAGTCCGTTCCTTTTTTAAAGATTTGAGATAGGAGTCGCGGATGTTTGTCCATCTTTTTAAAATAGCCATCCCTGATAGAAATAATTCAACAAATTATTATCTATCAATTTATTAATATATTTAAGTTATACTTACGAAAGTCGTCTTTCAGGCTGTCATGAAAATTAGCATATTCGCTATTCATTTCCAAGCAAACATCGTTCCAAGTGTTTCTACATTCAATTCGATTCTTGTGCATTTCATGTGATTTATCCCACAAAATCGGTCGTGCTTCGATAGCAGCCAGTAGGGATTCGGTTATTATTTCAAAAGACATGATTCACAATTTTCTAAATTGTATAAAATTTATATATTTATAACAATTCACATACGTATTAACTATATAATCTATTAATGAATTAAAGCTAGATATAAATATTATAGTTTAGGTTGATTGATGAATGAAACATTAGAAGTTACCACAAAAGGCTTAGAGAGATATTCATGGATCTTCGTTGATATAATTTTAATTATGTCAAAATTAGAGTTCGTTCTCTGCATATAAGGTCTGGTATTAAAATATTTATATATGTGCACTTCTCTTACAGTTGTTTTTATCTGGATTAAGACATTGCATTGAAAATATGCGAGAGACAAGTTAATCCGTTCTGGCAGAAGAAATAAGAGCAAATTACTCATACATCGATCTCATGCGTGCACGTTCTGTATTTTTTATAATAAGTCAGTGTATTTATATAAGGCTAGGAACAGATGGACAGGAAAAAATCTTTAAATTTAAAGCATTTTTAATAAAATTATCGCTTCTACGGGCTACCTATTAAAAATACACCTTACTTAATTTATAATTACTTAAATAAATCGGTCCAGTAGACGTTGAGAAATATTTTAAGGTGTTCGATTTGACGATCAACTCTATCATCATAAAAAGTTTCATTAACTGAGGTTCTTCTTGTTAGCAACGCCAAGCCCAAAAAAATCAATAAAAATTCATTTAAGCTCTTTTGAGAAACCTTCCCAAAGCCATGAAAATTAATCGGAATTTGGGAATAATCGTGGTTAACATTGATGAGAAGTATATACAAAAATCGGTCCAGTAGACGTTGAGAAATATTTTAAGGTGTTCGATTTGACGATCAACTCTATCATCATAAAAAATTTCATTGAAATTTGAGGTTCTGTTAGCAACGCCAAGCCAAAAAAAATCAATGAAAGTTCATACAATCTTATTTGAGAAACCTTGCCAAAGTCATAAAAACGATTCGGAATTTGGGGATAATCGTAGTTCGCACTGAAGAGAAGTCTATGAAGGAGTCTCTATAAAAATTTCAAATAAATCGGTACAGAAGTTATGTAATCGTGGGTATCGTTCCGGCAAAAACACATGGGAAGATATATCTCCAAAAATATTGGTGGAGCGACTAGGGCGGATGCAGAGCACGCCATTATGGAGTGCAAAAAATGAGAAAAGAGTAGGCAAGAATTAGGGAGGGAGATGATAGAGCAAAAAATCTTCTTCCCAACTTATTTTATAACATTGTTGACAAAAAAAGAATATATGGTGCGCTATATAATTATATACAATGTAATAAAATAAAATTGTAAAATTAACTTACAAAATGTATATGACTAATATAGGTACATACAAAATCAAAAACTTAATAAACGTTAAAAAAAATCTCCGAAAATAAATTAAATGTTGAAAAATTCTCTTGTACACATATTCTCAAAGAGTTAATCTTTGAAAACACATAAAAAAAACAAAGTCGATTTCTAGATGATCTAGAAAATTCTAGATGATACGCCCATAAATTATCAATATGTTGCGGATCCCACAAACACCTCACAATTCTTCATAGACACCTAAGGGGTCGATCTGGGCCACGCATGTAAAAAATATGTGTTTTATAACGGTATTTGTAAGAAAATTCGATTGCTATATTTAACCCCCAGCCTAAATTGACTTTTACATCACTATACAAATCGTACTTTTTGTCGATGTCCGCCCGTCCGCCCGAACCCGAAGAGAGTCAGCCCGTCAGGTCTCTCTCCGGCTGTGAACGTACGCTATTGAGACGAAGTCCCGTGTATCCGGGTTCATTGACGCTTCAGAAACCGGCGAAAGAATTTCTAAACGGAAGTAGAGAAAGCAGACACATCTGCGTTCTTTG